GGTCCAAAAAGAGGACATGTCCGGGAAAAAGAGGACGTATGGTCACGCTAATCGATGTATTCTTTTTAAAGTAGCATATAGAACATATTTTCTGCCTCATTCTGTGACAAGAAGCCTCATCAGATCACAAAAGAAAGCATTTGACTGGTGTTGTGGAGTAATAAGGTTATAATGTTCTCTTTTGTTGGACAACAGGTTTATAAACGTGAATACAAGGGAGCTTTAGGCATTTTAATTTAAGCATGTTTAGTTAACGGAAGGTTACCTGCTGCCATCAGAGCAAGTGTACTTACTGCATTCACGCGCTCCTCGGATGCTCTCATTTCCCGAGTTGTGCTTTTAAGTCGGAATGTGAAAACAACATGCACACTCACGTTACTACAAAGATTTGTATTATTAGAGCTTTCCGACTTGAGTTCACGTGCATTTTCTCAGTCGGGAAATTATTTTTCACGTGCGGTGCCGGTGATGATGCTGCTTACATCCGTTTCTGAGAACAAATATTTCAATCGATCGCTCAGGCATGGCACCGAAATCTGCGTTCGGATTCGGTTCTAGTACATACCGGTTACATACATTACATACTGGTGCCGTATTGGTACCGGGTTTTGGTACCCAGCCCTAATTCTAATCACACTCATTTCTGGAGTTTATTGTAAAAGTAGTAACTGTTTCTATGTAAGCTGCATTTTATAATCAGATTCCAAAACTCGGTAACTTGTAATTAGATATGCTGTGTTTTAAAAATGGTCAATCAGATTAGTTTCTTTACAATAAAAAATAATTACATGATTACATGTCATTCATACTGTGGCAGTAAATTGTTCATAATTTAATTTTCTTAATGAAAAAATGCCTACTGCCTGTTTCTTGTTTTAAATTATTATTATTATTATTATTTTGTCTTTTAAACAGATGCAATTACATTATGCGAAATTTTATATTTACATGTAATGCAGGGATTCCCAAACTTTTTTTGTCAACAGAATCACTTTGAATTAATATATGTATTTGAAGTACTCCCTAAGCTTGTAAGATAATGTTAATAATTAAGGCAATAATTCAGCAACAGATTTGCATATGTACAGTTCTGTGATGTCAGTTAATAATCTGATCTTTTTATGTTTACGTTGAAGTATTTTGTTTTGATTGTTTTATTTTAAAATTATTTAAATGTTATATATATATATTTTTTTATTAATTAATTAGTATACCTACAAACTCTGGGAAACCCTGATGTAATGTTAGGTTTAATGCACTTTGTATGTTTATATTAATATAGTAAAAGATTGTCCTATTCAAATCAATGTGATAAATGAGTCAAAAGTAAACTAAAATTAATTTTAAAAAAATGTCTAATTGTATTACTTAAAATGTAATAGATTGTTACTAATTACAATTTTTGTCATGTAATTTGACATCAGTAACAAACTACAATTTGTAAGTAATCTACCCAATTTGCATATTAGGCCCATTATTGTATTTTATAAAAAAAAAATTAAATCAATGTTGCTTATATTAAGGCTGTGAGTTTTAAATTATGACATGCGATTAACCCCAAAAAATTGCTTATCAGATTTTTCCTGAGAAAAGCCCCCAACGAAGATAATTGAAAGACATTACATTATTGTAACAGACAAGTAAATCATGGCATAAATGCATGTTTTGACAATTTTCTTCTCTTTCCTACAGGTTGCCAAATCTTGTTGAGGGTTGTGTGCTGGTTAATGCATAGAGGAAAAAGGGTGAAGCTTGAAGACGAAACTGAAGGTAGTTGGAAAAGGTATAGGAATGTTTTCCTGACTTTATCCCATTTGTTATAGATCAGTGGGCTCACCAAAGGTTAGGCTGATGAATCGCTCCTGTGTTCAGTTTTGCAGCTGTCAGAATGACCGCAGTGGATGACATCTCGGACAGCACGGAGGTTGTGGAAATGGACGACGTCCCCTCCCAGTTTTTCGTGGAGAAGCACTCATGGGATGGCTTGCGTGACATCATTCACGGCAGCCGGAAGTACTCGGGAATGATCATTAACAAGGCGCCCCATGACTTCCAGTTCGTTCAGAAGCATGACGAGTCCAGCCCTCACTCGCACCGGCTCTACTACCTTGGTACCCTTTTCCCTTCCGCGTCAACACAGTCAACCGTTTTCATGAGCATGCAGCTTCTTGAATCAACAAATGCACCAGTTCCTCATTTCATTTTTAAAATAGTCGTGCTTTTAAGCCTGTCTTCTTTTTAAATGGTAATGCTCTATGACACAAAAGAGTCTTCATCATAAAAAAAATGAAAAATATTTGTAAAAAATATATGGCAAGTTTTTAGAAATGAATTTTTAATTAATATATACATTTTTAGAGTGTCACACCATGTGACATTTCACAACCTGTCATAGTCAAATTAACTGATGTGTTGACTTGGACACCGCCATGAGGGTATGCAGAGGGCCTCTTTATGGCTCTTTTCCTGTTTTGTTTTGTCCCCCTTATGCTTTTGCACGTTGGTTGGACCACATGACTTTCTGGTCGCACCACATGACCATATACACTACCTGTAAGTTTTTTAAAAAATGTATTAAAAAGTCTCCTCTGCTCATCAAGGTTGCATTTATTTAATCAAAAATACAGTAAAACGGTAAAATTATGAAATACAGTTTAAAATAACTGTTTCCTATTTTAATACATTTTAAAATGTTATTTATTTCTGTGGTGGCAAAGCTGATTTTCTGACAGTAATTTTCTTTACTGTCACTTTTGATCAGTTTAATGCATCCTTGCTGAATAAGAAAAAATATTTGAGCAGAAACTTTTGAACAGTAGTGTTGGAAAAAAGTACAAACACATGGCTGAGTAATCAACTCAATTAATTAACTGACTGCGTAACATAATTTGTGGTAAAGTTTTTTAATTGGCTCATTTCAAAAATGTAACTCTGTACATTAGTATTTAGTCTCAATTGGAGAACAGTCGCATTCTCATTTCAATGAAATAAGAACAAAACAGCAGTCTGGGAAAATTAGGGATAATTTGTACACCACTTAAAACTGCAGGTAATTTGCTCTGAAGTAGTTTGTATTTTCTCCCAGATTTGAGGAGTTATGTGATCCAGAATCTTTCAGAAAGCTCCCTGGATTTCTGCAGAATTTGAACACCCCCTGTTCACAGTTCATTCAGTCTGTTCGTTTATTAAATATCATGGCTAATTTGATCATGCTTTCAGCTGCCATCAAGACTGCAGTTTCCTGAGCTCTGTTTAACACATTTTACCACGCTCAAATCCATTCAGCAGTTTTTCTCCAAAAATCTGCACAGAAAATGTTAAAAAGGACTGCAGGATCCATCTGGGAAGAATAAAACTGTTAGTCCCTCAGTCGTCTGAATAGCACAACAAGATTTTTAAAGTTTCTGAAGAAAATGTGAGTAGTGTTTTCTCATGCATATGCAAGAGTCCCACATTTGATGGTTTAGTACATTGCAATGCTTGTTCTAGCAACCATCCAGAAGAACCTATGAGCCACTTAAAATAGTCAAAGATTCCACCCACAATAATATCATATCCTGCTCCCTAGATCAATAATGTTTTTACCATTTTAATGTCTTGCTTAGAAAGGCAGCAGCACAAATCTTAAAACAGTTCAAGTGAGGCAAAGTTTTGTTGTGCTTATGAGAACCTTTTTCAAAATACAGCATCATCTGACAAAACCGTCACAGTCGAAACAAGCTAAATTCTTCCACGCACCATTTGCACAAGAGTTCATTGAATTCACTTCTTTACAATGGTGAATTGGAGACTCAGGCCCTTTTCAAGCAAAATAAATCAATACCAAATGGTTCCACCAAGTAATAAGCACTTAAGAGTTTTACTGCAACACAATACCAGTGACGTGGACTTTATATGACACTGAAAGCTCGCCGTTCTCTGGTCTTTGCATGTATAATGCACTTATATTCCCAGACAAGCCCGTCTTTGAGTCTCTGCCATCTTCTAACCTTCGCTGCCTCCAAATCATTCTACTAGTGGATTTGTGTATTATTAGATTAGATTAAAGAGTTTCTATCTTTTTTATCGTGGGTGCTAGTCATCCATAGATCTCTCAGTCTCTCGCTCATTACACTCATTAATAATCCTCTTCAGATACACAGTGACTCAGACGCTGTTGTGTCAGTGAGACACTCTCTGTTCTGGAAAAGGGCAAACACTAACCTTGGACAAAGAGAGGAGTGAAATGTAGTCACAGGAAATATTTCAGAAGATAGAAAAGGGTGTAGTTTACCGATTGTCTGTTTGTCACTGTCTTCTAAAAAGCATGTGAAAACATGATTCATTGATATACTTATAGAATGAGCTTTATTGCCAGGTATGTTTACACATACATATAAAGCATTAAAGGTACAGTTCACCCAAAAATTAAAAATGTTTCATAATTTACTTGCCCTCATGTTTTTCCAAACCTTTATTAGTTTCTTTCTTCTGCTGAACACAAAAGAAGATATTTTGAAGAATGCTGTCAACCAAACAGTGGCTGGTTGCCACTGACTTCCATAGTACTTTGTTCTCTATACTATGATAGTCAATAGCAACCAGCCACTGTTTGGTTTTCAGCATTCTTCAAAATATCTCCTTTCTCTTCTTTTGTCTCCACAGCTTTCAAAGTATACTTCTTTTTCCGCTGACATCACTTAGACAATCCAGGCTATTGGATAGATAATGCTAACTAAAATTTTTGTCATGTAATTTGACATCAGTAACAAACTACAATTTGTAAGTAATCTACCCAATTTGCATATTAGGCCCATTATTGTATTTTATAAAAAAAAAATTAAATCAATGTTGCTTATATTAAGGCTGTGAGTTTTAAATTATGACATGCGATTAACCCCAAAAAATTGCTTATCAGATTTTTCCTGAGAAAAGCCCCCAACGAAGATAATTGAAAGACATTACATTATTGTAACAGACAAGTAAATCATGGCATAAATGCATGTTTTGACAATTTTCTTCTCTTTCCTACAGGTTGCCAAATCTTGTTGAGGGTTGTGTGCTGGTTAATGCATAGAGGAAAAAGGGTGAAGCTTGAAGACGAAACTGAAGGTAGTTGGAAAAGGTATAGGAGCGTTTTCCTGACATTATCCCATTTGTTATAGATCAGTGGGCTCTCGAATGTTAGGCTGATGAATCGCTCCTGTGTTCAGTTTTGCAGCTGTCAGAATGACCGCAGTGGATGACATCTCGGACAGCACGGAGGTTGTGGAAATGGACGACGTCCCCTCCCAGTTTTTCGTGGAGAAGCACTCATGGGATGGCTTGCGTGACATCATTCACGGCAGCCGGAAGTACTCGGGAATGATCATTAACAAGGCGCCCCATGACTTCCAGTTCGTTCAGAAGCATGACGAGTCCAGCCCTCACTCGCACCGGCTCTACTACCTTGGTACCCTTTTCCCTTCCGCGTCAACACAGTCAACCGTTTTCATGAGCATGCAGCTTCTTGAATCAACAAATGCACCAGTTCCTCATTTCATTTTTAAAATAGTCGTGCTTTTAAGCCTGTCTTCTTTTTAAATGGTAATGCTCTATGACACAAAAGAGTCTTCATCATAAAAAAAATGAAAAATATTTGTAAAAAATATATGGCAAGTTTTTAGAAATGAATTTTTAATTAATATATACATTTTTAGAGTGTCACACCATGTGACATTTCACAACCTGTCATAGTCAAATTAACTGATGTATTGACTTGGACACCGCCATGAGGGTATGCAGAGGGCCTCTTTATGGCTCTTTTCCTGTTTTGTTTTGTCCCCCTTATGCTTTTGCACGTTGGTTGGACCACATGACTTTCTGGTCGCACCACATGACCATATACACTACCTGTAAGTTTTTTTAAAAATGTATTAAAAAGTCTCCTCTGCTCATCAAGGTTGCATTTATTTAATCAAAAATACAGTAAAACGTCATATTCTGAAATATCACAACTTAGAATTACGGTTTTCTGTTTTAATATACGTATGGTGAAGTGTAATTTATTTCTGTGATGTCAAAGCTTGTGTCTCACATAATCCTTTAGAAATCACTAATATGCAGTATTAATTAGTACTAATTAGTAGTTGTGCTGTTTGTTTAATTTTTTTGTCGAAATTCTGGTGCGTTTTTTTTAAGGATTCTTTGTTAAATAAAAAGTTCGAAAGAAGCATTTATTTACATTTAGTCATTTAGCATTACAAATGAGGACAATAGAAGCAATCAAAAACTAACAAAAGAGCAACAATATGTAAGTGCAAATGATAAGTCTCGGTTAGCCTAACGCAGTACATGTATCAAGGTATTTATATATATATATATATATATATATACACACACATCAAAACAGTCAATCCAACACAGTCAAGAATAACTTAAAGAGGTTGCCACCGTTTAGTAAACTGTGGACTAGTTTTGGCTCTTCCTGTTGACTTGAATGGTGATGCTTCCTGTTTGTCAGTTGACGGCCTTTCATTTTTAACCAGAAATGTGCACGCTGCTTTTCTGATGTTCACTGAAGTTTTCCGTGTCTTTTTCCCATGCCACTTGAAATTTTTCCATTTTGAATAGTTGTTACAAAAGGCGAGACACAAAAATGAACGATCAGTTGTGGGACTATATTCTGTCATAAATGGCATACCATTCATTCATTGCTGAACTCTCTACCGTCCGTTACTGGAAATGAAATGAAATACCAAATTAAATTAAAGTGCAACAGGTTTCTGTAATTTTCCTAATGTTTCATCTTGTCATACTTAAATAGGAATGCCGTATGGGAGCAGAGAAAACTCATTATTGTACTCTGAAATCCCAAAGAAAATACGGAAAGAAGCCCTCCTTGTGTTATCATGGAAACAGATGTTAGATCACTTCCAGGTATCTTTCCTTCATGTTTTGTTCTATGTTACGCTAACAGCAGCTAAACCACATATATGCGAGATTTATAACATATTAATAACATTATTATGTTCATTTGTGTTCATCTTATAGGCGACTCCGCATCATGGTGTATATTCCCGTGAGGAGGAGCTTCTCCGTGAGAGGAAGCGTCTGGGGGTCTTCGGCATCACGTCCTACGACTATCACGCACAAAGCGGCCTTTTCCTCTTCCAAGCAAGCAACAGCCTTTTTTATTGCCGTGATGGCGGCCAAAACGGCTTCATTGTGAGTCTAGCTGTTTTTTTCTGCTGTGCTCAGTTTAACATTTCTGGGAAATTTCTGCATAGCGTGTGTGCCTGAAACTCATGTGATGTTTAGCAGGGTGCCCCGATGAAGCCAGAGGAAATTAAGACTCAGTGCTCAGGGATTCGCATGGACCCCAAGATCTTGCCTGGTGATCCCAGTTTCATTGCCTTCATAAATAACAACGACCTGTGGGTGACGAATATCGAAACTGGAGAGGAGCGACGACTTACTTTCTGTCATAAAGGTTTGTTGATCTGTTAGTATACAGAAGCAGTTATAGTGTTGACTATTAAGGGTGTATTCTGGGTTATTTTTACCTTAAAGGGATAGTTCACCCAAAAATTAAAATTTGCTGTATTTACTCACCCTCAGGCCATTCAAGATGTAGGTGAGGTTTTTTCTTCATTAGGACAGTAAAGAAGATTTTTAGCTGAAACTGTGGTCCTTGGTGATTCATAAAATGCAAGTCAATGGCTACCGGCACTTCGAGAGTCAAAAAAGCACATACAGTCAACACAAAATGAATACCTATGACTCCTGATGATATATTGAGGTAGTGCTGGGCGGTATGACCAAAACTTTATATCACGGTATTTTTATAATGTTATAATCGCAGCATCACAAATCTCACAGTTCGGATCACATTACGGCTTTTGAACCACGGATCGGATAATTTTTCGGATCAGCAAGAAAAGAAAAATATTTCAATTTAACTTGCTTTATTTTTATTTATTACTTAAAGCAAAGTACTTATTTGATACCACAGTAAATACTACTAGATTAACTAAGAAAGTTTAAACATTATTAAAGAGACTAGAGAACAGCCAGTAAAAATAAGAACAAATACACAAATTACTAGCAGATAAATACAGCAGAATATGTTACAAATAAAATAAGGTTGGTATTATTCAAATACAGGAATGTAATAATTAGGGAAAATAACACCTTGCTTTATTTTTATTTATTACTTAAAGCAAAGTACTTATTTGATACCACAGTAAATACTACTAGATTAACTAAGAAAGTTTAAACATTATTAAAGAGACTAGAGAACAGCCAGTAAAAATAAGAACAAATACACAAATTACTAGCAGATAAATACAGCAGAATATGTTACAAATAAAATAAGGTTGGTAGTATTCAGATACAGGAATGTAATAATTAGGGAAAATAACACTGCATAGTGTTCAATGTATAAATTAAATATAGATTTTTATCACAGCTGTTTTGTTGTTTGATGATCATTAATGACAGCAGCAGTATTTATAGGCCGCTGTCCCTTTAAGACCTGATGCACGGATCCGATATAATGATACGCTTCACATCCAATTTCTTTCTCAGCTGTTTTCATTCACTTGAGATATAACTGACTGCGTTTACCTGAATGATTGTCGAGATGGGTATTTTGTCATAATTTTATGTGTATGTCTGTTCAGAGGATTCAGAAGAGGATTCAAGTCGGTGTTTGCAGGCTGTCTGAAACGCGTGTGCGCACTTCATGTGGTTGTTTTGGCTATATTACTTTTTTGTCTCATGCAGCGCACTGCCTGCGTCTGAGTAACAAACAAAAAAGTGCATGTGATATTAACAACTACGCTCATATTTATAATTCCAAACAATCAGTAAGCGACAGGTGCTAGGAAACGCTATTTTGTACTCATTTATTGACGAGTCGGCTGCGGTACGGCCAACTGAATGCGCTGCTTCTCTGCCGCTCACTGCACAGAACAGACGCCGAGAGAGGTGACACTTCTCCGGGAAAGTCAGACCTCGCGTTCACGGGACAGCACTGGCGAAATCTTCCAACTGAACCATAGCTAAAGCTTATCCAAAAAAGTTGCTAGGTTTGTCAGTATGAATATTCTATGGAAAAAAAGGGTCTGAAAGTTGCTAAATCTAGTGCTAAAGTCGCGCTCGTGTGTGTGAGGCGCGGAAGTTGATGGCAGGGGGCGGTGGATATTTGTGGCGGTCAACGTGGATATTGTGGATGAGTTCTTCTGTGTCATCACTTTTCTATTAGTTCTACAGCTTCAGTTTCGGAACTTTCACGCTTAGTAACACATACAGCTGTTCCCTCACCACAGTGCAACAGTGAAAAGGGACCCCTTTCAAACAGTGTCGCGTT